CTAATGAAATTCACATACCTCAATATTTCATATAGGTATTGTCTAAGCCTAGTTTTGGTTCTAATTAGTTCGTGTAGCTTGTCAAGGCCTTCCTTGCACCTACTTTAACCAAACCATACGATATCTGATCAAGTTCCCTATTTGTGGACGTCGGTGGATGAAACCTCAGCCCGTTTTCACACGAAACGAGGGATGTAGTCTCGTGGACTGCGTCAACCTGAACATCCTATAAAAGCAAAACGGCTGCAGTATAACGGGATTTATCCGTCCTCATCTGGTGAGATCGATCAACGAATATCTTATACATGCACTTTCATAGGAAATAAGAGTACCCCCAACAAAGTTGGTTAAATATATAGAATACTACTTTGCCATATGACATCATGGCAAGGATAATTTCTTGTTTTTGATTAATCAGATTGACTGCACTGTTAAGTTGACTGCAGATTGAGATGAACAATAATTAACACTTTTTAGATGTCTTAGTGATCAGAGCAGGTGAGAAGTTAATCAGAGATGTATATATAAAGCCAATGCATGCTGGCTTTATACTTAACTACATCTCCAATCATAGTTACAAATCAAAGTTTGGAGTTTTAAAATCTATGATTATTCGGAGTATAAGACTAATCGATAGAGACCATTATCATAATGAACTGGATCAGCTTAAAATAATATTTCTTGAGAATAATTGTCCCCTAGGCTTGATTGAAAATAACATTAGATTAATAAGGAATAGCTTTTTGAATGGTAAATACGTAAGGAGATATAAGAAGACCTTTTCTCATGTTTTCTCTTTACCTTAATGCATTTTCTCTTGAAGGATAGGTGAACAAGTAAGGAAGTGGGGAATAAAAACGGTCTTCGGGGAAACTACACTTTCTTCAGTTATGCCCACTTTTAAAGAGAAATTTGACCCATTATCTAGATCTGGTTGCTACAAAATAGTGTGTTCATCTGGTCGCTTTTATGTTTGAGTGACTTGTAGTCCCATTCGACAAAGGGCGGCTGAGTACAAAACGCCTGCAAAGGCTGTTGGGTTCAAAAATCGGAGCTTGCTGAGCACAGGGCAGAAACGGGACACAAGATTGAATGGTCTCAAACTTGTCGTTTTGCTGATTATGGCATGCTTGCGGCTAAACGTAAAATTAGAGAAGGCATATAAATAAACCGAATAGGAAATACATTCAATGTAAGCAATACTGGTAGTAAGATAAGTAAAAATTACTTGTGCTTAATTAATAGACTCAACGATGGAGATTGTCTTGTGCCGCCTACAAAATGGAGGCGACGCAACTGGTCTTTTCTTGTCTTGGTTCTAAGCATAGTCACTTCTCTGTACTTTTAGCTCACTCTTTCACTCTGGCATTGATACCCAAAACACAAAATAGGCTCATCAACAAAATGAGAAATGTATCCGACCTTGCGCAATCGGAGTGATGGTTATAACATGTATGTAGCAAGGGGGAGATAAGGGACCATCAAAATCTTGATAACCGAAGACAGACGTTACTTTTTGCTGTCCTTATTACTTTGAACCATCACTGCGGGTTTCGTGCATTAGCGAAGACAAACAGGTACATATACACACAGACAGTCACAAACACAGGCTTCAAGGTTTCCATATGATTGTAACTAACCAAATCAAAGAGACTACATATGAAGTACATATATGCTGCTTTTAGGGATTTGCTAGTGACTTTTCTTACTTCGTTAACTTGAATTTAGTTAATGATGATATCATCTCTGATGATGTTTCTCATCTGGCGTACGAAAGCTTAGCTTCTTTTCATCGGAATCGAAGGAAATTAACTCGGAAACAGCGTCAGAATGAATGTTCCATCCAATCGCTAGCTGGTCAAGTGGAATTCGCCGTCGTCTTCTGGTGCAATCGGCCATCGAATCTCTTCACCCAACACCTTAACTCAAAATACAA